AATCTCATGCCATTCTGTTTCTCTGGTGGATGGAAGTTTTGAAAACTGGGCAGTGCGCAAACCTGTTTAGTAAATATTATACCTAGCTTTTTTAAAATTTTCTTTAATTTTCAGATCCCTCCCATCTCGTACAGGCGTCTGTCTTTCCACCCCCAAATGCCACCCCTTTTTCTTAGGAAACGGCCTTTCTCTTTTGGCCTCGATTTCCCAGCCTGCTGGGCGTTGTCCAGGTGGCCCCGTTCTGTGCCATCCTCAGGCCTGACAAGCAGCCCCTCCACCCTGTTTCATCCAACACAGCCTCGGTTGTTGTCGCTTTTCCCTCCGATTAGGGGAGCGACACTGGCGTTTTTCCAGCTGTCGTGCCCAAATGTGGCTTCACCCATGTTAAACGAGTTGCGCAGCTGTTCCTCGGGCAAACCACACCCATACATTAACATTTTTTGCACTGTACACCATCAACACCTGCAGCCTTACTTTTTTTTTAGCATTCTCTCAAAAAATTATGACCATCCTTCCCACCATCCTGCTTGTAGTCCTGGTTTCTGCTCTTCCGCATGGCACGATGGCTGTCATGTACTTTAAATCTCTGTTTTCCTCTTTACAACCCTTTTTTTTTCTTCTTCCCATGCAATGAATTTCTCTTTTGGAATCCTTCTGACAAGCAAAGTCAATGGGGAACCCAGGTTCATTTAACGACCAGGTTACTTATTAAGCGTGCTGATTCGTTTAACAACCGTGTCAAGAAAGGTCGTAAAATGGGGCAAAACAAATGTCCCACTTAACAACAGAAATTTTGAGCTCAGTTATGGTCATACTTCGAAGACGGCCTGTATCGAATGGAGGCGATTCTGGCCCCACGTTCCTTCTGGCCTAGAGATCCAGGCCCCGGTTGTCCCCAAGATGCTTTCTCGGCTTTTCCCTTCTCCAGGTGGGACGGGCTGGAGGAAAAGGAAAGGTTTTCAAATCCTTCCGTTCCCCACCGGCCAGTCAGAACGGAAGAAACTTCGTGGATGACAATTTCCAGCAATGGGTTGCAACATCCAGAGCTGCGTTTCTCAACCGGGCCGTTTGTTTGGACTTCGACTCTAAGAATTCTGGGAGTTGAAGTCCACGAGGTAAAAGCTGCCAAGGTTGAACCCCCCCTCCCCCTGCTCTACATCATGCGGGGTTTAAGATCGTGGGGGTGGGGGAGGCGTCCGTTTCCTCCAGAAATAGCAGTGGCTTCGGGCACCAAATTGGCACCTAGGGAGACAGGAATGGGTGGCGAGAGCCGTCACATCCAGCCGGTCCTCTGAATCATGTGCTCAGCTGGGAGCTGCAATTATCTCTCCCCGACTTCCTGTTGATTTGGGAGGCCTTGGCACAGATAAGGAGTTTGGGCCGAGCTCGCTCGGATGGAGAGCAATAAGGCCACCCTCTCTACGCGCTCTCGGCTCCTTCTGTGCACTCCAGCCTGAGAGAATCTACCTGCCCACAAAGGGAGGAGGGGAAGTGACTTTCACCCCGGATCCCTGTGGATCACGGCTGGCCCCGTGAGAAAGAGAGGCGGGGGCACCTTGTCATGTCAAGAGTGATCAGTGCCATCACACTTTTGGGGTGTGGGGTATGGGGGAGGCAGCTGTGAAACGGGGCAGGTTTTTTTTTTGAGGAGGTCAAACATTTATTTAAAGTCAGACACACCAAAAAGAGTTTTATTATAACACAACAGCCTCATCCCAAATGCACAGAAAGTAGAATCAGTGTAAACGTGGCTTCGGCTGCGTTCACACAACAGCCTGAATTAGAAAACTAACTTAACAGCAAGTAGCCTGGATCTGAATCCCAGAAACGGTGTGGCTAGCGGATGGGAGCTAAACAGCTTGAAACGGATATTCTAGTCTCCCTTTACTACTTTGTTGGTAAAATATTCTGTGTATACCCAACTGCACCCCATTGTATAACACCAATGCAATTATTGAATTTGTGGATGACACGACAGTGGTGGGGCTCGTTAATAAGAACATTGAGTTTGCTTATAGAAAGGAAGTACAAGGGCTGACACTGTGGTGTAAAGGAAATAATCTTACACTTAACACCCCCCCAAAATAAAGAACTTATAACTGACTTCAGGAGGAAGAGAGATGTACATTTACCATTGTACATAAATAGCGAGGAGGTGGAGACGGTTGGTAGTTTTAAATTTCTGGGCACTTCTATCTCGGAGGACTATGAATGCTAACATGCTTGTGAAGAAGGCACAGAAGAGGCCGCACTTCCTGAGAAGGCTCAGGAAGATAAATCTATCTCAGCATCTACTTCTGTCGTACTACCGCAGCACCACTAAGAGGGTCCTGACATGCGGCATCCTTGCATGGTAAGGGACCAGCTCTGAAGTGGACAAAAAAGGCTCTACAGAGAATCATTAAAACTGCCCAGAAGATCATCGGGCTCCAGCTACCGGCCCTGGATGACATCTTTGCATCTCGCTGTTTAAGGAAGTTGCACAACATTCTCAGAGACTCTTCCCATCCTGCTCACAATCTTTGTGAACTGTTGCCTTCTGGCAGAAGATGCAGAGCCATTCAAACTCGGACCACACGAGTTTTCTGAACAGTTTTTATCCAGAGCTATAATGACCCTTGACAATGCACTTAAGGACCACCATCAGTGAGCTGTTGGACAGGATTACTTGGTCTGTTGCTTGAGTGTTTTTAGCAGGAGGGGAATTTTGGTAGGTGGGGAAGTGTTTGGGGATTGTGTGTGCATGTTGGGTCTGGTCTCTGGGTGTGATGTGAATTTCGTATGGGTATATTGTGCACATACGTACAATGACAATAAAGAATTCAACTCAATTCAATATAAATTTAACAGTGGTAAGTCAAGGACTACCTACATTATCTCCAGGTAGAAGACTTGCCATCGTACTGCAGCGTCCCTGGAAGTTGGGCAGCATATTAACACGAGAGACAGTCCTCTACTGGCAACCAACTTGTTTACTGACTGCTTGAAGTTACAACTGCACTGAAGAAAGTGATTTATGACACGGCTGTTGCAGTATCCCTGCAGCCATGTGGTCAAAGTTCAGAGGCTTGGCAACTGGCATGTACTTAAGGCGGCTGCGCTGTCCTGGGGTCAAGGGCTCCCCATTTGTGACCTTCCCGGCTGCAAAGTCAATGGGGGAAGCCGGATTCGCTTAAGAACCGCATGATTCACTGAACTACAACTGCAGCGATTTGCTTTAACAGCTGTGGCAAGAAAAGTCATAAAATGGAAGAAAGCTCACTTAACAACTGGCTTGCTAAGCAGTGAACATTTTGGGCTCTGATGTGACCTCTGAGGTGCTTTTTTTCCCTTGTGCAAATGTTTCTTGCTCTGACTCGGGTCTGCATCTCCACCTGTTCTCACGTGGCCCATTTCCAGCCATCTGATGAAGTGGGCAGGGCCTATGAACTCAATTCGGTTTGCCCAGGTGCCCACCTCACCTACGGGGCTCTGGGTGCTCCCCCCCCCCTTGAAACCAAGGCAAACACAGAAATGAAGAGGCACACTTGCAATTAAAGGAACAAACTGAGTCTTATATGCTATGGGAATTATTTTATCAGTGGCTGGAGAATAAATATAGACATTGGACATTTTAAAAAGATTAGTAAACGTGAATAAAATTAAATATGTGAAGATGGGGATTGTTATAATAATTAGATATGTTACGTCTATCAGTATCAAGACTAGAGCATCAATATTAAAGTAATGAATGTGTATCAACTGTAACTGTTACTGCAGAAGGTATTTGTACCCAGACGAGACGAGGGGCTGTTCGCATAAAAGGAAAGAAAAAGGATCCAAGGCAACGCTAGGAATGAACCCAGAAACGTGTTAAAAAGCCCACAAGGCGCAGCATGGAAAACGTGGTCAGCGCCCGAGTGGGATCCGATCCTAAGAATACGACCCCCCCCCTCCGGCAGCCCCCCCCCCCAGAGCCCTTCCAAGGGGCCGCCCCGCCCCCACGGCCATCCCATAAATCTGGGGGGGAGGGGAAGGGGGGGTCTTTTAAGGCCGCTGAGGCTGCCGGACTCCAACTCCCAGGATCCCCCAGCCAGCTTGGCTCTGACGCCCCCGGCTTTGCCGGCTGGGGGAGTCTGGGAACTGAAGGGGCTCCGAGCCCAGCGGGCATCAATCAGGCCGTCCCGATAGAGACTCTCCGGCGCGCGGAAGCTCCCGGGGGCTCCTGGCCGAGGGAAGCGGGAACTCGGCTTGATGGAATCGTGGTTTGTTTAGGAAGCCCCTCCCCCTACGAAGGAATCCCCGCGATTCCCGGGGGATCCAGCTGGAAAGGCTCCCTGGGGGGGAGGGGGGAAGGGCTGGCCGGGGAACTCGCCCGATCCCGGGTCGGGGAAGCAGAGAAACCACGTTGCGCTCCGGGCGCAACAAGCCAGGATCCGGCGGGGGGCGGAGCGCGTAACTTCTACGTGCTCCGAAGCCCCGCCCACCGAGGGGGAGGCGCTCCCTCCCTCCGCGGCCTTTGTGACGTCACGGGGCTTCCAGAAGGCTCCCGCGGGCTTTCCTACGGAAAGGCCAAGCGGAGCGCCGGCAGCCAATGGGAGCGGCGCGCGCGGGGTCCGGGGGCGGGGAGGGAAGGGCCTCGCGGCCCGCCCTCGTCTCCTAGAGACCAATGCCAGCGGAGAATAGGCGGGGCCGGGGAGGCGAGGCCAATGGGGGCCGAGGAGCGCGGGCCTTCTCAGGAGGCGGGCGGGGGGGGGGCGTGGCCCGCTCGGCCTTCCCCTCTTCTCCAAAGGGAATGGGCCCCGGATCGAGACGGGCGGCGCCCAAAGCCAATAGCACGCGGGGGGCGGGACGGGGCGCGCCGTTGCTAGGCGAGGGCGGGCTCCCGGTCCGCTAGTTGCCCCGGCTCGGCCGAGCGGGTGGCGGCGGCGGCGGCGGCGGCGGCGGCAGGAGGCGCGGGGCGGGCGGGGAGTGGCGGCGGGGGCGGCGGACGCGCTTCTCGGCATTCCTCGCCAGCCAGTCGCGCTCGCCGCCGCCGCTCCGCCATGCCCGCCGTCCTGCTGTTCTGGAGCCGCCTGGAGAGGTAGGGCGCCGCTGCCCCGCAGGCTCGCCCGGCTGACCCCTCGCCCCGGAGGCTCCCCTGCCCGCACAGCTGACCTCGCGGGGTCCCGCCGCGGCTGGAGGAAACGGGCGTCGGGGACGGGCCGCCCTTCCGATGGGCTCTGGCGGGGGGGGGGAGGTCTCCGCGCCCGGCTGGCCCTTCCCGGCCGTGGGGGTGGGGGGTCCCGCGGGGGTCCCGGGCGGAGGGCGGGCGGGGGAGCCTGCGGGGCGGCTGAGCCCTCCTGCCCTGCCCGGCGGCCGCTCTCCAGGAGCCTCCCGGCGGCTGTGGGTCGGGGGTCTTCGGGGCGGCGCGTGTCCCGATCCCCCTCCGGGGCGGGGGACGCCGGGGGACCCGCGAGGCTGGCAGCTTCCCCGCCGCCGGGTTGGGTCGGGGGCTGCTTGGAGTTGCCCAGCCCAGCCTTTCCCCCGGACGCCCAGCGATGCCAGCCCGGTGCGCCCCCTCCCCGCCCTCGCTGGGGCCCCCGCGCCGGTGCGCAGCCCGGAGCTGGACCCCCCCCCCGCCTCCCGTGCGTGGGGTCGGGACCCTTTGCTGCCGCCGCACCTGCCCGGCGGTTATTTCCGGCTCCTGATCTCATCGCTTAACTTTGGGGATTCTTCCTTTCGGTGTCAGCAGCGCCGCTGGCGTCACCCGCCGCCTCCCCCGAGCGGCGGCGGCGGAGCATGGAGAGCGGCAGCCCCCCCCCCCCCCCCCCGTCCCCCCCTCCGGGCTGAGCCGGATTCTGGGCTCAGCCGGGCAGCATCGGGGCCAGGCGTGGGAGGCCGTGGGGTCTCCGCAGAGACTGGCCCGGCGACCTTCCTTTGCGCCTGGGTCCTCCGCTCTCCAGGAGGGCTGGATTGCAGCACCCATCATCCTCAGCCTATGCTGGAGAGGAAGGGGCCCCCCACCTCCTGAAGGGACGAAGCCGGGTGGGAAGGTGGGCTGTGGGCTACCAGACAGGGTCTCTCCCTCTCCGTGATTTTCTCCCCCCCCCCAAATGTCTGAAATCCAGCCCAAGGGGGAATGAACGGTGCCCCTTTCCCACCTTTGGTGCCCCCGTGCGAGAGGATGGGGGGGGGAGATGTGCCGCCCGGTTGGACTTGGCTGCCTCCGGAGGCAGGCGGCTTGGGGGTCTCTGCAGCGCCTCCAGGGGAGCCTCAACCGGAGCATCCTCGCCCTGGGCAGGCAGCCCCTCCCTGGCCTTGGGATGCCAGCTGCCGGGAGCCCCGGCTGCTGCCATGGCGGAGCCCTTGGGCAGCCCTTCCCTGCGGTGGTGGGCTCCCATTCAGGCGTTCTTTAAAAATAGCCTGCCTCCGTGGCAAGACGATGCCTCCGTCTCGCAGCCCCATCCTCTGCCGGCGTCTCTGCCGGTAGGCGCTGGGAACGTGTGTCCCTGGGTGAACTCGGGGCTGAGCGCTCGCTCGCTCGCTCGCTCGAGGAAGGGTTCTTCCGAGGCAATCTGCTGCTGCCATGTCTCGTCTGGGGAGGAGCGCCTGTCTTCGGCTGGGAGGCTTCCCCCACTGCCGGCGGTGGCCGTGGCGGTGGCCGGCAGAGGCGCCCAGGGTCCCGCCTGCTTTCCCTGCCCGCCTCTTTGTGGGCTGTCTGGGCAGGGCTCACGTGGTGCCCCGCAGATGCCAGCTCGGCCGGTGCCGCCCCCCTTTCCCAGCTCTTCCCCCCCTGACCCGGCTCCTTCCCTCCCTCCCCGGTGCAGGAACAAGGAGTGCGCGGCTGGCCCCGTCTCGGCCATGGGGAAGGACTACTACAAGGCCCTGGGCATCCAGTCGGGGGCCAACGAGGATGAGATCAAGAAGGCCTACCGGAAAATGGCCCTGAAGTACCACCCGGACAAGAACAAGGACCCCCACGCGGGGGACAAGTTCAAGGAAATCGCCGAGGCCTACGACGTGCTGAGCGACCCCAAGAAGCGGGCTGTCTATGACCAGTACGGAGAGGAGGGTAAGCGGGACCCCAGCGATTCTTTGCCCCCCACCCCCCGAAAAATCTTCTCCCTGGCCAAGGAGCCCCGAGTCAGCCCCCATATCCCCTCCCTGGCAGGCGAGGGCGAGGGGGGAGGGGCAGATCCAGACCCCTTTCTCCCTGGGGTCCTCTGGGTGGGATTGGTGCAGGGGGCCTGGCTGCTTCTGCCGGAGGGGGGGGGGATCTTTTCAGGATGGGCCGAAGGGTGTGGGGGGCACGACTGCTGCTTCCTTTTCAGTCCATGGTGCTGCTACTTCGCTCTCTCTCCCTCTCTCCCTCCCTCCTTCTCTCTCCGTCTCTGTCTCTGTGTTTGGACCTGGAGAGCCTTTCCCAATTTTAGTAATCCTTTCCTAAGCTATCCCGGGCCGTTTGGCAGCGAGGGAGGGAGTGTGGCAACTTTTTGGCAGGCTGTGTTGTTGTCGTTACCCGGGCGCCTGGGAATAACTTCCAAGAGCCCAGGAAAAAGCCCTAAATTAAATAAATAAACGGTGTGTGTGTGTGTGTGTGTGTGTGTGTGTGTGTGTGTGGCCTCGGCAGCCAGAAGACTCCCGGGCTCCTTCATGTGCCGAGGGGGAAACCCGGGGTAAAGAATTGGGGGTACAGCCGCTTCCCCTGGAAACCTCCTTCCTTGCGAGTAGCCCCCCCCACTGAGTCACACTGCAAATATCTGCTCTGCGCTTGGCAGGTTTTGCGGGATGGGAGCCGGGAGGGGGCCATCCAAGGTCTCTGCCGGGAGCCGGAGGGGCCGCCGAGGCCGGAGTGGGGCCCTTCTCTCCAGGGCCCTGCCTCCCATTTCTGCCCCTCCTGGCCTTTGGGGGGAGCTCCCGGGGGGAGGGAGCCAAGGGCCCGGGGAGGGCTGGCCTATGCCTTGGGGAGAGTTGGGGGGGCCCCCTCCCAATGGCTCTAAAAATAAAAGGCCTTTGCGGTCATCTCTGAGTGGGCCTTCTAATTATGTCGGAGTGACTGGCAAGGCCCCGGTTGGTCCTGTCACTGGTCCTGGGGGGGGGGGGCCGGGGGGAATTGGGGGGGGGGGGAAGGAGTCCACTGACATGATCCTCCCTCGGGAGAATGAAGTCAGCAGGAAGGGAGGGCTGAAGGGAGGGAGGGCCTCCCCTCCCCGTCCCAATTTAGCCCGTTAATCAGAGAATGCGGGGGGGGGGGGGGGGGGGCACCCTTTGGCCACAAAGTGGGGCCTCCTATTATTAGTGGCGGCCCCTCCCCCCCCCTTTAGCGGAGCTCTCCCTCCTGGGACGGGGGCTGCCGCTGCTGCCGCTGCCCAGTTATGGAAAGCCAACAGCTGTGGGGCAGCTGCTCAAGCAGCGTCCAGCAATTGCGGCCCCAGCCCTCCCCCTCCCTCTCCCTCCGGCCCTTCCGGCCCCTGCTTGCCCTGAGAACCCGGGGGGCTCCGCCGCGGAGGCCCCCTTTCAAACAGGCAGCTGGGCGGGGCTGGGCTGGGCTGGGAGGGAGAGCCGAGAGCGACGGAAGGAAACCCTCCAAGGAGAGGAGGAACCTGGAACTGGGGAGACGTTTCCTATCCGTGAGAACGATGAGCCAGGGGAACTCCTTGCCACCAGAAGTGGTGGGTGCTCCATCCCTGGAGGCTTTTAAGAAGAAGGGGCTGGACAAGAGTCACTGGTGTGAAATGGCCTCTCGTCTCCTGCTTGAGCCCAGGGCTGGACTAGAAGACCCCCCGAGGTCCCTTCCAGCTCCAATGGCCTCTCGTCTCCTGCTTGAGCCCAGGGCTGGACTAGAACACCTCCCGAGGTCCCTTCCAGCTCCACTCGGATTCCCTTCCAGGGCTGGCTTTGCTGCTGCTGCTGCTCTCCTCCGACTCTGCCTTTGGGGCTATCTCAGAGTCCTTTTCACAGAGAATTTGGATCGGGGGTCCCTTAGAGGGGCAAGAGCCCCCCCCTATTTTCGCAAAGGTTCTGCCCTTCCTGCATCGAGGGGGGGAGGGCAGAACCTTTGCGAAAATGCTCCAGGGTCGCCTTCTGGACTCCTGCCCAGAGCACAAGGTCTCCATTGAAGGACGAGCAGGAACGGCCCTGGACTGGTCCTTGCCGGAGGTTTCCTTAGATAAGTCCGACTGGCTGAAGGGCTCCAGCCTTGGCCCCTTTAAGTCTTGTGGACTTCAAAGCTGGCTGGGGAATTCTGGGAGTTGAAGTCCACAAGTCTTAAAGGGGCCAAGGTTGGAGACCCCTGCCTTAGACTCTCGTGGCCATGGAGTGGACGGCCCATAGCCCTTAATCTAGACCCCATTGTTGCAAAACTAATGGGAGCCAAATGATATACAAACAACCAGAATAGAGCCGGAAGGGGTCTTGGAGATCTTCTAGTCCAACCCCCTCCTCAAGCAGGAGGCCCTACTCTATTTCAGACAAGTGGCTGTCCAGTCTTTTTTTTTGAAAACGTCCACTTCTGGAGTCCAGCTGTTCCACTTTTTAATCGTCCTCAGGAAATTCCTCCTGTGTTCCAGGTTAAATCTCCCCTGGATGAGTTTCCACCCGTTGCTTCTCCTCCTGCCTTGAGATACTTTGGAGAATAGGTTGACCCGCCCTGCCCTGCCCCCCCCCCCCCTATCTGGGGCAGCCCCTCCGATATTGGAGCCTGTCTGTCATTTCACACACACCCTCAGTCCTTCTTTCTTTGTCTGAAATGCTTTAGGGTCTTCTGTTGACCTTCCAACCTTTGTGTTAGACGTGCAACACCCCCCAGGAGTTTGTCCTCGGGGGGGCCCAGTGCTGTGGAAGGTGCTGGTCGAGGGCCAGAGTAGGTCCTGGGTGGCCCAGGCTGATAGCTGCGCTCCCACAAATGGGCTTCCCCCGGATGGTGGGCAAAGGCCGTGGCTCCAGGGGGCATCTCTGCTTGTCCGGGTTCCGGCAGTTCCTCCAATGAAACCACGAGCCTCGAGCCAGATCCCCCCAAACTCCCCCAAAGGATTTATTAGAAGTTAACCTGCTGGCATTAGACCGAGCGTAGCCGACTCTGAGATACGAAATTCCCTGGGCCCCCTTCCCCCCACCCCCCACCCCTCTGGGTGTATCTCCCAAGGAAATACGTCCGTGGCCCAGAGTCATCCATCCTGCTCTCCGGTTAGACTTTGGCAGGGCAGAAGCTTCAGCCACCTGACCAGCCTCTGAAGGAAATGTGAATAAGGACAACTATAAACTGTGTATACAAAACCGTTGGCTGAGTTGGCCCAGTTGCCTCCCCTGACGGTTCCTCCCTTCGGTTCCCTTCCAGGGCTCAAAACGGGCGGGGGTCCCTCGGGGCCTTCCGGGAGCACCTTCCACTACACCTTCCACGGAGACCCTCACGCCACGTTTGCCTCCTTCTTTGGGGGCTCCAACCCCTTCGACCTCTTCTTCAGCAGCAGCCGGTCCCGGGTCTTCAACGGCTTCGACCACGAGGACATGGACGTGGATGACGAGAGCGACGACCCCTTTGGCGCCTTCAGCCGCTTCGGCTTCAACGGCCTCAACGGGGTGCACCGGCGGCACCCGGAGCCCATCCACATGCGCCGGAGGGTGCAGGACCCGCCCGTGGTGCACGAGCTGAAGGTGTCCCTGGAGGAGATCTACCACGGGGCCACCAAGCGGATGAAGATCACCCGCCGGCGGCTGAACCCGGACGGGCGGACGGTGCGGACGGAGGACAAGATCCTGAACATCGTCATCAAGCGAGGCTGGAAGGAGGGCACCAAGATCACCTTCCCCAAGGAGGGGGACGCCACCCCCGACAACATCCCGGCCGACATCGTCTTCGTCCTGAAGGACAAGCCCCACGGCCACTTCCGCCGCGACGGGACGAACATCATCTACACAGCCATGATCAGTCTTAAGGAGGTGGGTCCTCGGCTGAGGGGTGGGGGAGGGGGGGTGTCCCTCTCGGGCACGGGGGTGGGGGGGGGCGAGGCAGACGGGCAGGTAGGAGAGTCCGATGCAGAAATAAACCCTGGGAGGGTTCAAGAAGAGGTTGGCGAACCCTTTGTCTGAAGAGGTGTAGTAGGGTTTCCTGCCTAGGCTGGGGGTTGGTCTAGAAGACCTCCAAGGTCCCTTCCAACTCTGCTATTCTATTCTGATGGAACGTATCCTTGAGGATGGAGCGTTGGGCACAACCGGTTGTCTCCGTTGGCTTTCCTGGGCCTCGGCTCCCTTCCTTCGTTCCTCTCCTGCGTCCCCTAGGAGGACGAGAAGACTTCCAAGAGCCCCAGAGTTGGGGGTCCCCAGGAGGTGTCCTCCTGTCTGAGGGACTAGAGACCCTCTGAAGGGCCCCAGAAGGGAGGAACAAAAGCCAGGCAGCTCCGGGCCTCTGTGGAGATTCTCAGCCCCCATCCGGGTCCTGGTGGTCCCAACGGTGCTTTTTTTCAAGAGGCACCTGGGCACCTTTGGGACCACCACGCTGAGGTCTTCTCCAAGGAGGCTGGGAGACCCGAGTCAGCAACCTTCTCCGGTCTGGCCAAGATGGAGCCAAGATCTGTCTCGGCCGCCTTGGAGGAAATTCCCCTCTGTGTCCCCCCGTCCCCCCACCAGTGGTTTAGAAGAAGCCGGCCTTCCTCCACCCGCCCTGCCGCCCACGGGGCTTGATCCAGGGGTCCCTCTCTCCAACCTGGGCAGCATTAAGCCGACCCAGCCAGCTGTGCTGGAGTTGAGTCCCACAAGGTGTGGGAGACCCCTGCCCTCGCGGGTGGCTAAGAGCCCAGCCCCCACCTATGAGCCCACCTTCCTGACGCCTTTCCCTTTGTCCGAAGACCCTTCAGGGTGGGAAGAGAGGGGACCAGGGCGGGGGGGGGGTCCTGGGGCCCTACTTCCCTCCAGAGTAGCCCTCAAGTGTAAATCAAAAGTAATCTCTACCCCCCCCCCCCTCCCTCCACCCAAGGAGCAGTCGCCAAGTGTGTGCAAGCTGCTCTCAGAGTCAGGCTGTTCCCTTTCCCCCCCTTGGCTGGGGGGTGGGGGGGGGTTCGGTGGCTGCTCCTAAAAAGATCGGGCCAACTGTGCCTTTCCCAGCTTGTGTGCGAGAGACGCTTCTGTTCCTGCCACCTGGGCACCAGCGCCCCCCCCCCCCCCCCCGCCCTGCTTCTAGGGAAGGGGGGGGGCGGCGGCGTTTGCAGTTTTAGGAGAGGGGGTGCGATGGGCCTCTGGTGTCCATGGAGCCCCTGAAATCCATCGGCCAAGAAGCCGGGGTACAAGAGTCCTCGACTTGTGAGCACAGTAGAGCCCCTCGTTGCTGCTGCTGCTGCTGCTAAGTGAAACATTTGCTAAGTGGATTTTTTCCCCATTTTGCTTGCCGCAGTCGCTAAGTGAATCGCTGCAGTTCTTAAGTTAGTTAAGTGAATCTGGCTTATCAAGAGGTCACAGAAGGGGACCCTGGGACCGTCATAAATAAGAGTCAGTTGCCCAGTGTCTGAATTTTGATCACATGACTCTGGGGATGCTGCGACGGCCGTAAGAGTGAAAAACAGTCATAAGTCACTTTTTCCAGCGTCGTCGTAACTTCGAACTGTCCCTGAATGGACAGATGCAAGTCGAGGACTAGCTGTGATGCAGCCCCCTCCCCCCACAGCTCTCCTCTGCCCTTGCCCTGGGGGGGGGGTTCCCAGCCTTGTCCGAAGGGGCAAACCCCCTCCTCCCGGACCGCCCCCCACCCCCCCCCGACTCAGGGATTCCCCGTCTCCTGGTGACGCGGGAAGGGAGTTTTTGCGGGCGAGTAAATCTCCGAGAAAGATTAACAAGCCCTCGGCTCCTCCGGCGCAGGTTCCCTGCTCCCTGCTCTTCCCCGAGAGCCTCCGAGGCTGCTTGGCCGGGCGACACGTTGGCCTGGCTCGGACAAGGGCCGGATTGAGGGGGCCGGCCGGCTGGCCAGCTGCCACCTCTGAGCCATTCCAGCTCGGGGCACAGCGGCGTTGGGCCTGGTAGCCACGAGGGAGAACGGCCTGCATGAGCGGGTAGACCTGGCTGGACAAGAAACGAGGAGATGTCCTACCTCATCCCGGCGCTGAGACCGGCATTGCCGTGCGCGGGTGAAGGGAAGGGGGACGGGAGGCAGGGAGGGGCCTCAGGACATTTGTCTGTGCGGAAATGAGAGGTCAGGTCCCCAAAACCAAGAAAGATACACTGAGAATCTCTGAGCAGCTTCCCTGATCGTTCCTCACTTACGGACAGAATCTTGCCAAACCGAAGCAGACTATTTGCGCCACAAAACAGGCCCTCTGGGAACTGTTAGGGAGGAGCTGTCTTCACTCTCTTTCTCCCACATAAATTTATTCCTCCCCGTCAGGATCCACATATTTTAAAAAAGACACATTGTCAGCCTTCCAAGCAGAATTTTTGTTGTTGTTCCTCACCCCGAGACAGAATCTTGCCAGACGAAAGCGCGCCAACTCTCCCCAAATGCCTCCATTCTGGGAACAGCTGGGGAGGAGCCGTCTTCACCCTCTTTCTCTCACACAAAGTCCATGAGCCGAGTTGTCTCTTGCTCCTCCGGAAGGCACCTCCTCCCCCCGGGGAATCCAGACCACGTTCCGTCACAGGGGGCCAAAAGGCGGGTAGCCTGGTGTCTGTTTTGGGTTTGTTGTCGATTAACCTTGCTGACGGTCCCGGAGGTGGTGGAGGCAGGTCTCCCACGTTTGTTGGGTGCAAGTCTCTTCCCAGGGGCTTTCGGGGGGATCCGGGCTCCAGCCTGGGACCTCTCAGGGCTGCTCTGCCTTCCCACCCTGGGTCACAGCAGCGCTCGCTTTTTGGCAGCCGGTGGGGTCAGCTGTGGGCAAAAAATAACCCCGTTCTGCTTGGGCCCTCCTGGGCCTTGTGGAAGTTGGCAGGAGCAGCAGCATCGCTCCAGAGTTTCCACTCCTGGACGTCTGCCCAGGCCGGAGAAGGCCTCTGGGGGGGCTCCTGCCCTGCCAGCCTCAGAGGCCGGAGGCTGCCCTTCCACCTGCCCACCGAAGGCTCGTCCCCTAGTCCTGCTTAGGTTCCCCGAGGCCTGGGGCTGCGGGAGGCCATCAAGACTCCTCCTCGTGTGGTCTTGCCAGGGCTTGAGGATGGTGAGGCCTGCACGATGCCCTGCAAAAGCTCCGGGTTTCCTGCCGGTCTGCTTGCGGCCGGCACGGCACGGCACCCGGGCTGGGCAGCAAGAGCCACTTTGGGGCCTTTCAGGAGTTGCCCTCAAAAGGACTCTGGGGGGTTTGGGGACGTGGGTGGCGTTTGGGACCCGCAGCGGCTGCTCACCCCGCTTCTCTCCTCCTCTCTTGCAGGCCCTGTGCGGCTGCACCGTCAACATCCCCACGGTGGACGGGCGAGTGATCCCCCTGCCCTGCAGCGACATCATCAAGCCGGGCACCGTGAAGCGGCTGCGGGGGGAAGGGCTGCCTTTCCCCAAGGTGCCCTCCCAGCGTGGGGACTTGATTGTGGAGTTCAAAGTCCGCTTCCCGGACAGAATAGCCCCCCAGACCCGCCAGATCCTCAAGCAGCACCTGCCCTGCTCCTAGAGCGGCCGGGCGGGTCCGGCCCACCTCACACACGCGCTCGCTCTCGCTCTGCCAGCTGGCTTTGCTCTCCGAGCAGCGGCCACACTTCCCGCTGGGCCACGTTGCACCCGGCCTGGGCGTCGCCCCGGGACCCTCCTGCCTCTTGCGGCCAGCCACGCCCTCCTCTTGCACGGGACCCTCCCTGCCCCGCCCCACCCTCCCCGTCCTCTGGCAGCTTGGCCTCCTTCAAGGGGTCCCCGTCTTTGGATCTGGTGTCCCTGCTTTGCGAGAGTCTCGCGGGGGGACTTGACTTCTAGAGCTGGGGAGGGTCTCCCCAAATTTTGCCAAGGAGCACCACAGCCCTGTAAATAGAACCGCCTCCTCCCCTGTCCCCGGCCTGCTCTCTCCGTTCCTTGCCTCCCCAGAGGAGCCGGTGGGGGGTTGCAAAGCCAACCTCGTCCTCCAGGGCAGGGGCTGGGCCCCCCCTCCTCTTTCTGGCACCAAGAAGGCCCCCCGACCCTGGGGGGGGCTTGGCCCCACAGAACTTCTCCAGCCCTGTCTGGGCTCACAACAAGGACCTGCCATTCAAGGGTGCTTTGGACTTTGTCTTCGAATAGAACCTTCATGAGGACTAACCTCTCCTTGGCTGTGTTGGCTCTCCATCTGAGTTCTGGGGGAAGGGCTGGTGGGGGGGGGGCAGGAAGGCTCCCCGGGGGGGGGGGGGGGGAAGGGGCCCTGGGCACTGCCGGGGGGCGGGGGGGGGGCCGGCGGGGGGTGGGTTGGGGGGGGGGGGGGGGGTTGTTCCCGGGGGGGGGGGGGGGGGGGGGGGCACCAGGGGGTCCAGCGGCTGCCTTTATTTTCACTTTTCAGAGGGAGAATTTTCAAGAAACGTTTTCTTAATCCTTGACCATTACGTTGTGTTTTGGGCCAGCCCTGGCAGGGAGGCTGGGTCTGTGGGGCGGGTGGGTGGGTGGAGGGAGGGTTCGGGCGGGGGGGGGGGCTTTGCAAGAGAACATCTTAACCATCCTCTTCCTCCTTCCTCCCCTCCCCTCTCCCTCCCCCTCCTGAGTTAAAACCCGGGGTGAGATTTTCCACTCATCCTTTTTGTTCTGAATTTTCTCTTGACTGAAAATTGGAGGTGCTTCCTTGGGGGGGGTCCCCTCGGTCCCTGCCAAGGCTGGCCCTCCATTGGGGGTGGGGGGAGCCGAGCTTGGCTGAACCCGGGAGGGGAGGAGGGGCCGCCCCCCCCCCAGCCGCTCCCTGCACAGCTGGGCGGAACCAAGCGCTTCCCGCCTGTACAAAATGGCCGATGGTTGGAAAGGGGGGCGGCACTGCGGGGGGGGACCAGGGACTCCATGCCTGGATGCTTCCGTCCTTCAGGGCCCCCCCCCTTTTCTTGGCCCCCTCCGGTGGTCGTGCGTGTGCGTGCGTGTGTGTGTGTGTTCCCAGTACGTGGGCTGCTGCTGACCCGGCGGGCCGAAAGGAAGGGCGGGGGGGGGCGGGGCGGAGAGGGCCTTGCTGGGGTTCCTCCATTTCAGGGAGACCCTGGGTGGTTTTATAGCGTTTTTTGGAATTCCTCCTTTTGTAATGTCCTGTATTAATATTTAAAAAAAAAAATAAAGTATTTTAAAAATCGGGGCTTATGTTGTCTGTTAAATGCCAGGATGCCCCTCAACCCCTGAGTCTTGCCAGGAGGAAGACCCCCCCCCGTCCCCCAAGGCTTATCTGGGCACTACTGCCTGTCCTGGGGTGGGGGGTGGGGGTGAAGCTGTCAGTCGAGAGATGAGGCGGCTGGCCGGGCCCTCAGCCAGATGGGGCCACAGGGCCCCACCCTCTCTGGTTCCCC